GGGAGTTCGGGCGGCCGCCGTAACCCCGCGGGTGCGAAGCCGCCCTCTGCGAACGCGCGGTGGGAAAAGAGAGAACGGTGGGAGGGCTCGGATATTTTTTTTTTTTTTCCTTGGGCTTTCTTCTCTTCCCCTTAACTTTGCCGAGCGGAGGGGACTGGACTTTAACGAGCGAGGCCACTGTCCTTTGCTTTGCAAAACAAACAGCGGCTTGGCCGGGAGCTGGGTGCAGGGCACGGGAACAGCGTTTATCGTCCCGCGGCGCTGGCGTGGGTGCGGTCTACCATAAGCAAAGCCTTCTAGGGTGAATTAGTCGAAAGGCTTAAAACGAAGCCGGAGCTAGCCGCAAGCAGGCCTCCTTTAAAATAGGCGCAAGCCTAATCTGTGCCACAGCGATCCCGAGCGGGGGGAAAGATCCGGTTGGTGCAGGAGTTGCAGTCCATGCCGCTCATCTCCGCCGGCTTGTACCGAGCGCGGGGCTCCGGCTGCCAGGGGGGATTAAGCAGTAATCCCCTCCTGACACCTGGATGGCCCTGTCGGTTCCAATTTTCTCCCTGCGAGGGTGACCGTGCCAACACCTCGCCGGGACCCTGCCAGCCCCTGATAGCTCAACTCCCCCCCTCGTGTCGCGTAGGGGTGAGAAAAAAAAGGATGAGCCTCTTTCCAGGGCTTGAATCTGGGGACTCTCCTGTATAGCCGAGCCGTGCTGGGTGCCATCCACCCAGCGTCGCTGCTTCCAGCTTCACGAGGACCCAACCAGTAAGCCCAACCGATCCTGCCCGGCACATCCCTTCACCAGCACGACCCCGCGCAGGTCCTGGGGAAACGTGTCAAGTCAGCGACTTCCTCCAGCCTAAATCCTTCCTTAAAACCTGCCGGTGCTGACGCCGGGGAGTGGCTTACACAAGCCTCTGTGTTACCGGCCTCATCCTGTGCCCGTCGTGTCAGCAAGAGGGGAGGCGAGAGCATGCGGTGGTCCTGAGACTGAACCCCCCCCGGGGACGGCAGAGGAAGCCGGTGTCCCCGCGGGTGCCGCACGCATCCGGCACCGGCAGTTCGCTTGGTTTTGCAGTTGCGTCGCAGCTCAGGGT